TTACCATGGAAATGGTACTTTAAAATCTTTTGGTGGTCTCCTCCCCCTTAGTGGGCGGTGTCAAGTGTCATATTACAAAATGCATTACGCTCTTTTACAATCAAAACTTTTTATAATCTTATTAATCTTATATAATTATTTTGAGATAGAAGTAAAATTGACAGAGAAATCTAGACATTTGTGACAGAAAAATGCATAAAAAATTTGGTGCCAAAGTTTGGATGGCACCAGGTGGCTGTTTGTGGTATAACGCCCTAAATAAAATCTCACTGGAACCTCAATTTTTTTCATATCAACTTCAAATTTGGAACATAACTTATTTAGACATAAGGCTTTAATTTTATACCAATTTTAGAGTAAAACCTGTTATGTCAAATATTTATTATATATCAAATTAATATAGTGCATTTTCTTTACAGTAAATTTAAACTACCATAACTTTTTGATACTTTACTTTTTTTTTTTAATTCATTTTGCGATAATCTGCTGATTTTCTTCTTTTAAAAAGGGACCAAACTTATGTCTGTATTCCAAAGTGTTCATAAATTACAACAATTTAAGTTTGGATAGTGCACCTGCATGCCTATTTAAAAAAAATGGGGTGTGACAGTTAAGGGGTTTAAGAATATTACTAAAAGCTACACAAAAAATATATCTTTTACTTGCTAAAAAGTGTGAACTATTAATCAGAGGGCAGAAGGTATGTAGAATATTGTGTACAACAGGGTTTTCAGCATGTTTTGATCATGCTGATAATTTGGACACCTCAGAAATTCTTGAATCAAATATGATACAGTTGGCTTTATAGTGTTAATACTTCAGGCTACAGGTTTGTTCTAATGTATAGTTAACTACAGCAGAAATTGTTTTTTTGGACAAAAGCATAATGTCTCTAACTAATAAACACACATTTTGAGGGAGGGGACATCCTGTTACAAGAGCGTGATGGGAACCAGAGAGCAAAGATATCTGATAATGGTTGTATTGCTTTTTTAAGTTCTCCATTTATTAACATGTTTGCACATTTTTTTTGCAGGTTGACCCGAAAGACTTCATGCTGACAGGCCTAAAGAATGAGACAGTGGGCCGGTTGCCAGGCAAACTCAATGGCCAGCAGTTTGTCATTCAGGATTGTGAGAACTGTAACATCTACGTATTCGACCATTCGGCGACTATTACCATTGACGACTGTGTGAACTGCCGTATTATTTTAGGTCCGGTCAAAGGGAGCGTGTTCTTCAGAGACTGCAAAGATATCAAGTGTGTGGTGGCCTGCCAGCAATTCCGCACCAGAGACTGCAAGAAAATTGATGTCTTTTTGTGCTGCGCCACCCAACCCATCATTGAGTCTTCAACAGGCATGAAGTTTGGCTGCTACCAGTACTACTACCCCGAGCTGGCTTTCCACTTTAAAGATGCAGGCCTCAGCATCTTTAACAACAACTGGAGCAATATTCATGACTTCACACCTGTCTCTGGAGAGACCAATTGGAGTCTCCTACCAGAAGATGCTGTTGTCCTGGAGTATATGCCTCTACCAGATCCTGAGTCAGAATTCAAGTCAGTGAGAATCTCTGCTGAAGCAAATCGGAGCATAGTGCCCCTGACCAAAGGAGGGCGCCGTACCGAGAGCGAAGAATCCTGCCTGTTTGTCTTTTTTGCTGGAGACTACACCACTGCTAATGCCCGCAAGCTCATTGATGAGGTTAGAACTAATTTGATAGTTGATGGTGTAGAATTGTCATTCATGGTTCCAACGATGGGTGATCCAGAAACTGACGTCATGTGCAGCATATTTGTTCATCTTTGAATTGTATTCGTGTTACATGCTTGAGGTTTCTCAACCTGGAAGTTAATCAGAATGAGTCAACATTTCCTTGCTTTGGCATTTCCAAAAAAAGCTTTGTGTTTATTACTCAGTTTAACGTCTAATTGAAAAACGTTGTTCACAGCAAGTTTTTTCATGTTAATTTGGGAAATGAAATCAGCTTTCTTCAGTCACTCCACCTATATAAATAGAAAAGGGGATGTATACTATTTCCCACTTCACTTAAATTTGTAACTTTTATCTGTCTTTTTCTACTAGAGATGTTGCCTGTGTACGATTAACTAACTTTAAAGTGTCTCTACATAATTTCTAGTGTGCTTTTGATTTTTATACTTGCAGGAAGTTAAGGAAGTGACTGACTGTCTGTAAATATCTTAGGTTGTTGGCACCTTTACTGTTTGTTCTAGTATTTTGTTACCAAAAGCAGGATGGGCTAAACAGGAAGGGCTCTGCTGCATAGTTTTAAAGGTCTGATTTGACAATTCACAGTATAATAGCTTCAGCCATATTTAACAAATCCTTTTCAAATGACATGAAACGCTTTTATGCAGAATGCAAGAAAAATTATAATAATCAATCTGTACCTGAATGAACAACTGATGTGGTGTTCATTCAAGCATGTTGTTTAGATATCAACCCATTATTAAAAATGTTTAGATCCATGAAGTATTACACTGTAAAATCATTTTAGAATGGTAAAACGGTAAACATTAATATCATGGCACATTATGAAATATTTTTACGTCAAAGTGAATCATTCACATTGACAAAACAAATGTGCTGTAAAAAAAAAATGAAGTTGATTTAATGTGGATTTAAACTACAGCTATATATTTTGTGAGTTCATGTAGTTTTACCTAAACTATCCTTGCCCTCTGCAATATATGGATTTGCTAAAACAAATATGTGAGGAAGAGACAGAAACAAAGTATTCGCCATCATGCTTTTGACCTTTTTGTTACTGACTTCATGTAGAAATCAATCACTTTATAGTGGTGATCAATTAGTTTTATTTTTATGGTTCTCAAATCTCAGTTAAAAAACGCACAGAAATCCTGGCCTGTTCACCAATGCATAACCAAGCTTATTCATGAAAACCTTTAATTTTGTAACATTGCTTTTTCTGGATCCACCTAAATGCAGACGACCACCAAAGGCTTTGTCCTCATTCAGACCAAAGAGGTTTCCATGCGCCCTGAGGATGTGAACCGAGTGTTCCAGAATAATGCAGAAAGCCTCACTGAGTGGATCACCAAAGGTGTCGTAATGTATTGTGTTACACCAAATAAGAAAATGTACAGCCTCTTGTAAATAGTTGCAAATATGAATGTCTCTTATAACACACTGATCTGTGTTCCTGCAGGTCCAGTGGTAGCCCTCGAGCTGAATGGAGATGGTGTGGTGGAGGCGTGTCGATCCATTGCCAATGAAGTGTTCAATGGCACTAAGGTAAATATAAAAGCAAGCTGTTACTTCTCAAGTCTATTTATTGAGAATTTGCTCTGATCATCCAAAGATTTTCATGCTAGCTGCTGCTTTTCCTGCAGCTGTTTGTTTCTGAGAGCAAAAATACGTCCTCGCGTGATGTCGACAACTTTTTCAACTTTGCTGACATGCAGATGGGACTGTGAAACTGGCGCAAAGAAGCACTTCAAATTAACGTGGGTTTATATTAGTTTGGTTTTGTCAATTTTGTCATTTCAGTGAATTGGAATTACTTAATATCTCAACACTTTTAGGGGTTTATATAACCACTATTTTAACAGACAGTTTTCCTCTGTGATCTGACCATTTTACATTTTCATGCCAATGAAAGAGGCATATGATCAGTTAGGGTTTTGGAACCAATCATGAAGGCAAGTGCCTTTAGATAGAGAACAAAATTGAGAACTGGAACTTTAGTCTAATCAAATATTGCTGTGGACAATATCACTTATGCTGAAAATAATGAATTTGATTATATAGATATTTATTTAATAGTTTTTTCCTTAAATGTATAGCTGGAAATTGTGTTTTATTCTCCTTTGCTTGTATACATGTCATTTAGTTTGTGTATACTAGATGGCGGTAAAAAAATATATATATTTCTCAAATGCCAGAAAACATGAATTGTTGAATCAGGTTTTTTATATTTAATATATATATATATACATACATACAGTAATCCCTTATGCTGAAAATAATGAATTTGATTATATAGATATTTATTTAATAGTTTTTTCCTTAAATGTATAGCTGGAAATTGTGTTTTATTCTCCTTTGCTTGTATACATGTCATTTAGTTTGTGTATACTAGATGGCGGTAAAAAAAATATATATTTCTCAAATGCCAGAAAACATGAATTGTTGAATCAGGTTTTTTATATTTAATATATATATATACATACATACAGTAATCCAAATTTGATGTGGATCAAAACCTTTCATCAAAATATATATATATATATATATATATATATATATATATAATAATTCATAGCATGTGTTTTTTTCTTTTCTTGTTAACATGGCTTTTGATTTGTCTTCAAATTGTATTTTCTGTTTTTTTTCAGTATTATTATTTTTTATTATTGTAACCAAATGACATTAGTCCTCCATATAAGTTTTTATGGTAACACTGTTCTAAAAAGAATGTAAATCTGATATGTTCCATCTGATATGTTGAATGTACTACTAAAAGGAGCTTTAGTTGTCTCCTTTACACTGCTCTATTTTTGTAGGAACTTTTTAGCAAGCAAAACTTTCCTGTGACCAAAAAAGTTTGTACATTTGAGAGAATCACAGTGTACTTTTTTTTTATTTCTAAATGGTTCTTATTTGTATGAGAATTTTGTAGAGTTGAATATAAGCTGTGATTTGTCAATACATTCATTTTAGTCAAAAGTTATGCGTCATCTCTATTTATCTGCAAATAGACACAAAGATAGATTACATCTTACTACACAAATGAATTAAGACATATCAACTGGTGCAAATATTTTTGTGAGTTGAGTACATATATGCTTTCAGAGATTGTGAGTTACTGTAAAATGAATGTAGTGTTGCATATTGTCAGAACCATAACCGTTTTGAATGTCAGTTTGAATGCCAAACTTGAAGGCTAATTTGGCTTATGTAGGAAACATTATTTAGACTTTCATGAAGAGGTCAAGAGGCATTTAATTATCATTTGCATAGTTAACACTGAGGAAAACTGGTCATTGAAATGCTTGTGACAAGGCTCAGGCATACAGTGAAAATAACGGGACCATACATAAACCATACATAAATAATCAAATGGTAAACATGAACATACACAAATATAGACATAAGTGGAGGGCACTGAGATATTAAAAGGCCATGAGCTATTTCACAGGCAGAACAATAAACACAGACAGAGCAATAAATACAAATAAGTGGAAGTAACCGATACAATAAGGGTAGATCGTGCTAAGAGTATTAAGCAGTCCTGAGGTACTGAGACAAGAATACTGAAATAGATCAGTGTCCAAAGTGTCAGTGTAAAGTGTCACAGAAAAATGACGGTACAAATACAATAAATAGTAAATCTTAAAGGGATAATTCACCAAAAAAATTAAATTTGATGTTTATCTACTTACCCCCAGGGCATAAGATGTAGGTGACTTTGTTTCTTCAGTAGAACACAAACGAAGATTTTTAAGTGAAACCGTTGCAGTCTGTCAGTCCTATAATGTCAGTGGATGGGAATCACGGCTTTGAGAGTCATAAAATATACACAAACAAAACCAAATTAAACCCTGCGGCTCGTGATGATACACTGATGTGAAAAGACACAAAACGATCGGTCTGTGCAAAAAACTGAACAGTATTTATATCGTTTTTTTTATCTCTGATTCACCGCAATGTCTGAACTGTCCTGAGCACGTTCGCATCTTCTTCTTCAGCCTGCGCTGAGGTGTCTTCTTGCTATACGGCGGATCGCAGACTTATAAGTGTATTGCCGCCACCTATCTCTCAAATGGACCATTGACACTCGTATCTACAATCTCAATTGGGAGTGTCAATGGTCCATTTGAGAGATAGGTGGCGGTAATGCACTTATAAGTCTGTGATCTGCCGTAAAGCTAGAAGAAGAAGAAGACGCTAACGCGCTCAGGACAGTTCAGACATTGCGGTAAATCAGAGGTAAAAAAACCCCGATATAAATACTGTTCAGTTTCTTGCACAGACTGATCGTTTTGTGTCTTTTCACATCAATGTATCATCACGAGCCGCAGGGTTTAATCTGGTTTTGTTTGTGTATATTTTATGACTCTCAAAGCCGTGATTCCCATCCACTGACATTATAGGTCTGACAGACTGCAACGGTTTCACTTAAAAATCTTCGTTTGTGTTCTACTGAAGAAACAAAGTCACCTACAT